GGTGTCACCATATGCCTACTGAACAAGGTGTCACCATATGCCTACCGAACAAGGTGTCACCATATGCCTACTGAACAAGGTGTCACTATATGCTACTGAACAAGGTGTCACTATATGCCTACTGAACAAGGTGCCAATATATGCCAACTGACCAAGGTGTCACTAATGCCAACTGACCAAGGTGTCACTAATGCCTACTGAACAAGGTGCAGCTATATGCTTACTGAACAAGGTGTCACTAATGCCTACTGAACAAGGTGCAGCTATATGCCTACTGAACAAGGTGTCACTATATGCCTACTGAACAAGGTGCCAATATATGCCAACTGACCAAGGTGTCACTAATGCCTACTGAACAAGGTGCAGCTATATGCTTACTGAACAAGGTGTCACTAATGCCTACTGAACAAGGTGTCACTATATGCCTACTGAACAAGGTGTCACCATATGCCTACTGAACAAGGTGTCACCATATGCCTACTGAACAAGGTGTCACCATATGCCTACTGAACAAGGTGCCACTATATGCCAACTGACCAAGGTGTCACTAATGCCTACTGAACAAGGTGCAGCTATATGCCTACTGAACAAGGTGCCACTATATGCTTACTGAACAAGGTGCTACTATATGCTTACTGAACAAGGTGTCACCATATGCCTACTGAACAAGGTGTCACTATATGCCAACTGAACAAGGTGCCACTATATGCCTACTGAACAAGGTGCCACTATATGCCTACTGAACAAGGTGTCACCATATGCCTACTGAACAAGGTGTCACCATATGCCTACTGAACAAGGTGCCACTATATGCCTACTGAACAAGGTGCCACTATATGCCTACTGAACAAGGTGTCACTAATGCTTACTGAACAAGGTGTCACTATATGCCTACTGAACAAGGTGTCACTATATGCCTACTGAACAAGGTGTCACTATATGCCTACTGAACAAGGTGTCACCATATGCCTACTGAACAAGGTGTCACCATATGCCTACTGAACAAGGTGTCACTATATGCCTACTGAACAAGGTGCCACTATATGCCTACTGAACAAGGTGTCACTATATGCCTACTGAACAAGGTGCTACTATATGCCTACTGAACAAGGTGCTACTATATGCCTACTGAACAAGGTGCCACTATATGCCTACTGAACAAGGTGTCACTAATGCCTACTGAACAAGGTGTCACTATATGCCTACTGAACAAGGTGCCACTATATGCCAACTGATCAAGGTGTCACTAATGCCTACTGAACAAGGTGCCACTATATGCCTACTGAACAAGGTGTCACTATATGCCTACTGAAAAAGGTGCCACTATATGCCCACTGATCAAGGTGTCACTAATGCCTACTGAACAAGGTGCCACTATATGCCTACTGAACAAGGTGCTACTATATGCCTACTGAACAAGGTGCCACTATATGCCTACTGAACAAGGTGTCACTAATGCCTACTGAACAAGGTGTCACTATATGCCTACTGAACAAGGTGTCACTATATGCCCACTGAACAAGGTGCTACTATATGCCTACTGAACAAGGTGCCACTATATGCCTACTGAACAAGGTGTCACTAATGCCTACTGAACAAGGTGTCACTATATGCCTACTGAACAAGGTGCCACTATATGCCAACTGATCAAGGTGTCACTAATGCCTACTGAACAAGGTGCCACTATATGCCTACTGAACAAGGTGCTACTATATGCCTACTGAACAAGGTGCCACTATATGCCTACTGAAC